TCAAAGACTCTCGCAGAGCAAATAAATCGTATCTGAAATGGTCTCGGGCCAGTGGGTGCTCAAGTGCGTGTGGGGGCAACAACGCATCGTCCGCCATCTGCGGGCGGGGCCCGGGCGGGCCGGCTTGGCTCAGGCGGGGCGGCTGCGAGCCCGGCGGCCTGGCGGGGCGGAGCGCCTGCTTTCGGCGGCGGCCCCTCTCCGTCTCCCCAGATGCTGTCTCCGTGATGCCGCTCTCTGGCGGAGCTGTCGCCGGCCGCCACGTCCGTGCCCGCCCCGCCCGGCCTCTGCGCGGCGCCAGTCCCCTCCGCTGCGCCTCGGCGTGCGCGGCCTGCGGAGCCTGTTCGCGCTGCAGCCCCTTCGAGTGGCGCCGCCGCCCGGCAGGGAGCTCGCGCCGTCCTGCGCCTGCGCGGACCCCCGGGTCTGGCGCCAGCCCCGCGCTGGCCTCGGGCTGGCTTCGGACGCGTCTTGCGTGAGCGTCTAACCCGGCGGCGGTGCGGCCGGCGTCCCCAGCCAGGCCGGCGGCACTGTGGGAGGACAGGCCGCACCCGCAGTGCGGGACAGGCGCGCACGTCCGCCTTGGCCCCGCGCTGCCAATGGCGCGGCCGCCACCGAGAGCAGCTTCTCGCTCCTCAGGAGAGCGGATTCCTGCCAGGTTAAGCATGTGTGTGTGAACGATGCCCTTATGTTATGTATGTTTGATGCATGTATGTGTCGTGTGTATGTTACGTATAACTTCCATGACAAAGGTGATGGTTCACGTGGGGAAAACTTGTTTTCATCCTAAGTCAGAAAACTTCGGAATGCAGTCAGTTTTTTCAGCCACCTATCAAAAAGAAAATGGTTATGCTCTGGAAAAGCATCTTATTATGGGGCTGGCAGTGGGGAGGCGTGGGACAGAGGACGCGGAGTTGCAGGCTGAGGACGGCTAGACTCCGGGTGCAACAGGAGGACTAGAGCGACAGCTGTGTTGTATACGGAAAGGTGTTGAGAGAGTGGATTCCGGTGCTCCCGCCACACGCGCGCGCGCGCGCGCACACACAGACACATACACGCACACACAGACACGCGCACACACAGACACACACACGCACACAAGGCACACACACGCACAGACACACACGCACACACATACAGACACACACGCAGACACACACAGACACACGCACACACACGCACACACACAGACACACACGCACACACAGATACACACACGCACACACAGACACACACGCACACAGGCACACACAGACACACACAGACACACAGACACACACGCACACAGACACACACGCACACACACAGACACACACAGAGGCACACACACAGATACACACACGCACACACAGACAGATACACACACACAGACACACACAGACACACGCACACACAGGCACACACAGATACACACACAGACACACGCACACACAGGCACACACAGATACACACACACAGACACACACACACCCACAGACACACAGGCACACACACACACAGACACAGATACACACAGACGCACACACAGATACACACACAGACACACGCACACACACGCACACACAGACGCACACACAGACGCACACACAGATACACACACAGAGACACACGCACACAGAGGCACACACACGCACACACAGGCACACACAGATACACACACAGAGACACACAGACACACACAGACACACAGGGATGACTACGGGAGAGGATGGATGTGTTAATTAGCTTGACTACAGTAACGACTTCACTATGTGTGAGTGTATCAAACACTGTGTTGTGTGCGCTAAATACATACAGTAAAGAAGCCTCTTACTACCCAACAGGAGTTGCAGAGTAAACACTGTCGTAGCCTGAAGCGCCGTCACCCCTGCGTCTGGGGGAGCTGTGGCGAGGGAGCAAGCGCGCCCTTCTGAGCCCCCGGGGCTGTGCCTGCTTCTGAGGCCGCTGCCCACGGCCGTCATGGGCGGCAGGGCGCCACGCGGGATCGTCACCTGAGTGGACGTGCTAATTAATTTCTGAAAAGCAGGTTCCTTTTCTGTAGGATGTCCACATGCAATCTCAGGATTTCCCATGCATGAAGAAATGAGGAAACAGTGCGGAAGGGTGCTGGGCTGAAGTTTTGTTTTGTTTTTGTTTTTTCATCCTGACTCCAACTGCAGGCCGCCTTCACGGGCAGAGCAGCGCCGGCGAGTCATGCAGGCCGAGGGCACGCAGGTGTGTGGGGAGGGCCCCGGGTGGGGACCGCCCTCGTGTGTAGGAGAGGAAACCAGGGACAGGGAGAGGCCCGGCGGGCAGCAGAGGCGCGGGCAGGGCGGGATGAGAAGCAGGAAGTGAAGCTTCCTCTTCCCGTTGGCACCTGGATCCTCTTCCCTGTGCTTGGGGATCCGCACGGTCGCACCTGTGAGCAAGCGGCTGGGCGAGCGCCGCGCACAGCAGGGGCCGTGCAGGGTGCCAAGGGAGTCGACAAACACAGGGCCCCAAGTCAGCCGCTTTCCGCCTCTCCCCACCTTTCTGGGAGCGTGCAAAGGGATGGGAAAAAATCTGAATAACTAATCCTGAGTAATAAAAACTGTGCCAACTTCCCCAGAGAAATCTTCTTTCTTTTAAACTCTGAAGGCACTTGGAGCCTGTGCCAGTTAGTGCTGGATCGCATTTCTCTCGGGTCATTCACTGTTGTTTCTTCGTTAATTGTGCCTCCCCAAGTATGGCACAATTGCGGTGCCTCTTCTCCCCACCGCCCCACTGTCTAGTCCAGCTTAAACCCATGAAGCGCACGATGGATTACAATGAGCCAGGAATAGTTACAGGTGTCATGACAGCCTGTCCCAGGTCCGCAGGCTTCGTCAGTAAGCGCAGGTAGACAGGACAACCTTGGCACGGGCAGGCTGCTTCTGCAAAACAGGAAACCCCAGGCAGCAGCTGCTACTAGAGTGTGTGGGCTGAGGAGTATCCGGGTTGCAGCTCAGCCTCCACGGCCAAACCTGGAGAGGCCGCGCAGACTGGCAGGGTTCAGGGCGCACTTCCCAGCGCAGCCTGGTGACTTAGCCCACCCCTTCCCCCACCTGCGACCCTCCTGTCCCCTCAACCAAGTCACTGGCAACCTGGGTTTGCTCTTGAAACTTGAACTGGGCTCCCTGCTTCTCTGTTCCATCTCTGTCCAAATAGCCGGACCAGCGCTGGGGCCGCTGACGGTGAGCAGCTGCCGCCTGTGCCGCCAAAGCCCCTTAGCTGGGACTCCCCACGGGCAGCGCGACATCGGTGTCATACAAATCCTGTATTTCCTCACCCCTGTCTGCACGCCTTTCCTTTGACCAGCACGGGGAGGGGGGTGGCGGGGGCAGGACACGACACGCAGCTCCCCACAAGTCCGCTGCTGCTTGGGTTAGGACTACAATTTAACGTTCCCTCCAACTCTAAAGACTCCGCGGTGTGTCCACACTGGGTGTCACCAGGGTCCTTCCCATCCTTTGTCATTCAGTTAACAAGTGGCTCATTGGTGTTGTCCCTGCTCCACAGAGGGAGGACCCCAGGCTTTTGCAAAGGAAGGGAAAAGAGGGGGGACTCCTACGTGAGCGCTGGGGGACAGAGGTCCCCCCCCAGCCCGCCACCAGCCTGGCTCCAGCACCAGGCAGCCGGGCCGGTTCCTCCCTCTGATCTCGCCGTGGCGTCCCTCCGTCCGCCCTCCCCACTCTCGCCTCCAAAATTGCCTGAGAACCCCAAGTTCTCATCTGGACCCTGCGAAGTGATTCAGTTTCTCTTCGGAGTCTCTCTCGGTTACGTCCAAATTCGCGCCGAGGCGCGCGTTTCCTAAACCCTTTCTCCCGGAACGCATCGGCCTTTTCTGGCAGGACGTCTTCTCGGAGCCAGTTGCTCCTGAGAACTGCACTCCCCCCTCCGCTTACACATTTTTGACAAATTTCTTTATCGGTAAGCAGACTGCATTTCCAAACGAACACGCTGCGCGGGGCTTCGGGGGCGCACCCGGGCGGGCTGCGGCGGGGGGCGCCGCCGGCGCGAGCGCCCAGGACGGCGGGGACCCCGGAGGCCCCGCGCCCCCGCATCCCGCTCCCGCGGGCCGGCCAGGCCCCCGACCCCCGCCCTGCAGGCCCGCGAGCCCGAGGGTTTCCCGGCCCTGCGGGGGCGTGGGCGGGGCGGGCGGCATATAAGGCGCGAGCCTCCTCCCGGGGCAGTGGCTGCGCCGGCTGCGGAGGGAGGTGCGCGCAGGGCCCGCGCCGCCGCCCGGATCCCCGCGCGACTCCGCTCAGCGCCCCGCGCCCCGACGCCGGACCCGCACCGGGCCCCGCGCCCGCCCGCCCGCAGCATGCGCCAGGTGCGTGCAGCCCCCGCGCCCGTGCAGCGCCGAGGACGCCACGCGGGGACCGAGGGCCCGGGACGGGGGTGCGCGGGCAGCGAGCGAGGGAAGGGCGAGAAGGACGAATGCCACGGCCCGGGCAAGGGGGCCGCCGGTACTCCGGGTTCCCGCTGGCCCCGGCGGGGCCTCTCCCCGCAGCCGCCAGCGCCCGTGCGCCGCTCCAGCGCTGGCTGCCTGGAGGGGCCCCAGGGGTCCTGGACCGGCTCCGCTGCACCTGCGGGCTCCGGTTCAATTCGAGGCTGGTGCGGCCCGGGGTGCGCGGCTGCCTGTGGTCTGAGAAGCCCTCGGGAAGCCCCTCCTGCTCGGGACTGAGGGCCCTGAGCTCGGTGGGCTCCTCCTCCCCCGAGACGGGACTCGCAGCTGCTGCGTCCTGGGGGAACGAGGTACCGGGGAAGGCCTGCAGCTCCCTGGAGGATCTGTCCCGAGTCGGGGGTGGTAACCGCCCCCCTGCCAGACAGCGTCACGCCGAGGAGATGCTGGCAGACCCTGCCCACCCAGCCTCCCCTCCACACGGGACCAAGGCCCGCGCGGAGCGGGGGAGAGTCTTCCAGAGCAGGGACGCAAGGGGAGGAGGGGGCGCCTTCCCCCACGCAGGTCCCCCCGGGGGTGCGCTCAGCTCCTCCTCCCAAAACCCACTGAGGGCCCGTATTGCACCTCTGCTTCTCTTTCAGAAAACACTAGAAATTTACTCTGTGGAACTCGATGGAACGAAAGACATCGAGAAAACAGACGAGGGGGACGGCAAGGAGAAGTACAGGGGCCTGAAGAACAAATGCCTGGACCTCAACAAGCATCATCAGAAAGAGGAGTTTAAGAAAGAACTCGACCTGGTCAGTAGCCTGAGCCCAAGCGGTCGCACTGGCGACTGCCCTTCCCCCTAACAGCTTGCCCCGAGAACCGGCCTCTTGCAAAAGAAAAATCGGTCTCCAGGATTTGAAATCCCCTAGAGAGTTGTTTCCTTGTTTAAAAAAAAAAAGGTGGTGTGATAGGATCTGCCCAGAGGTCAGGGCCTCTGCAGGCCTCCCGCATTCTGGTCTCGGGCAGTCCCAGGTAGACCCAGAGAAGTCTCCGCGTGCAGGTCCCACAGGCATGGCCCGCACTCTCCTTCCCAGCTGCCTCAGTGCATTCAACAGCCTCTTGCCAGTTTTTAGTTGAGGAGTAAAACTATCTGAGCCGAACTTCCCGGGAGGGAAAGCGAAGCTGCTAGACCGTGCTAGCTTTCAGGCGAGAAACCCCATGAAAAAGAAGAGTTCCGGTGGCGACACTGTGGGACCTGGGCTCAGAGGACCTTAGGGTCAATCGAAGCCTCTCCCACTTCTCCACTGACTGAGCTGAAACGGGGAGCGAATGACCTCACTGCCCCAAGCTCCATTTTCTTCAAGTAAAATGGGAAGTAAATAGTTTGCAGAGATCTGTGAAGGGAAGAAACGAGACGAGGATTTTGTAATTCAGGTGCTTTAAGGAAGTGCAATATCATTATTATTGTTGAGGAAGAACTTCGGAGTTATTAAGCAGATGCTTTAATAAAGAGCGGCCTTGGATCTGCAATGTGACAGATTCATCTCAGGAACGCTGAGCGGAGCGTGGCTAGACTGCCCCTGCGGTCCGCTGCACACTTCAAAGCCCTGAGATTGCAGCGCTGGGCTGACAGCCACAGCTCATTTGGGCTGGAGAGCCGCTCAGGTATTCAGGAACGTGGCACTCTGACTGACATCCAGTTGGCAGCTTGGAATTCAGTTCTGGTGAGAAATCAGCAAACGCTACAAACCAGAGCTTTTTATTTATCTTTCCTGGAGAGCTTGCTAATTTAGCAGCCTGCCTCTGGCCATGCGGTCATACCTGGGCTGATAGACATTTAAGAGTACAGCACTGAAATTGGACTGATCTGAATTCAAATCCCAATGTGGCCAAAGTTCAGTTTCCTATTTTGAAATATAGGACTTAAAAAGGGGGCCTAGCTCCTGGGGTTGTTAAGAGGGTTACGTGAGATAAAGCAGGAAAGGCTTAGCACAGTGCCAGATAGTCATTATTTCCTGTGTATCTCTGGCGTTTAAGATTGAAGACGTATCTAGTCTTCCTTGAGATCGCTATCATGCCATGAATATATATATCCATTCCCCCGTATGCCTGTTGATTATGATGACAATTTCCCTTCTTGGAGCACTTTGCAAAGATGTGTAATGTAGGAAATAATTTCCGTAGTATCAGCCAAGTGTTCCCCTGCTCCCTTGCTGAGAAAGGAACAGCTTTCTTCCCCTTTTTTTGTCAACCTTCCTGCAGGAGTCCTATAATTTGGGACAGCGTAGTTACTTTTGAATCCCAACCTCTTGGCAAATTATAGCCCCCTGGCAAATGAAGTATCCTCCGCCTTTGAATAAACCGGCAACGACAAAGTCCCAGCAGCCAGTGCTGCCCTGTGCTATTTCAGTGCTGGCCAGCAGGGGGCACCCAGACACCCACCGCCGCCTCCCTTATCTGCTCATCCCCAAGCCCAGGCAGAAGGGACAGGCAAGGTCCTCTGCCTCAAGATACAGCCCTTTAAGCCTGAGGCCTATCCCTGCAAACAGTGGCCCTAGCCACCCACGGCTTGTGTCTGCCCGGAACTTAGCACCCCGTGCTATGCTCTGTGTGGAGCTGTGCCTCAGTCCGGATCGCTGGCAGTGCCACGTTCGATTGATGTGGAATACGACGAACGAGCAAAGCAGAACCCAGCCAAAGGGCTAGAAGCAAAGTAACAATAATAGTAATGAACTATCCTTTACTGCAAGGTCTAATCTTTTATTGCAACATGGAACTTTTTCTTGCATATACTTAGGAAACGATGGTTTGGGCACCAGAGTGTAAATCTTTGTTTCAGACAAGCAGGGCTTAAAGAATTCTGAGTCCTGGGTTTTCTACGGGGTGCAGGTAGGAAGAATTACTCCTGGGTTTTCTTCCACAGTGACAGGCTTCTAGCCCTTTAGCCCCGTGGTTCTCAAAGGGAGAACAGGGGAGGATCCCCCACCCCCGCCCCGGGGACATTTAGCAATGTCTGGAAACAATTATCGTTATCAAACTCAGGGGAGGGTGCTAGTGAGTGGCACCTAGTGGGTTGAGACCCTATGACAAAGAATTATTGGCCCAAAATGTGGGTAGTGCCAAGGCTGAGAAATCCCGTTTCAGTCTAATGATTCTTTGGCAAAATTAACACGTGTGGGCCATGCTGGTATTTGTTCATTTGGCAGGTTTTAATCTGCAGGGTTTCTCTAGCCCGGGAACTCCCTGAGTTTCACGTACTCACATAAGGGAAGGCATGCTCCTGTCTGCCAGAGACCAGCCAGGGAGGGAGGAGGAGTTGTCCAAACATAGGAATTGGGTCTGATTTGGCTTTGCCCACCACGGCCAGCCAGCCCCGGAGCTGAGGCTCGAATGAAACATCCAGCGTGCGAGGGCCTAGAGGATGCGCGTGCTGGGACTGAAGTGAGGGGCATCGCTTTGTCCGTAAAATCTAAAGACGGTTTCTGGGCGGTAGGTGGCAAGTGCAGTCTGAACTCAGGGTGGTGGCGACCCAGCAGGACGAGGCTGTGCCCCGGCAGTGCCTTCCCTCTGCACAGATGCCTGGCATGAGGAGCTCTTTCTCTCCTTCCCCGACACCTCCTGGCGCCCGCCCTTCCTCAGAGCCACCACTCCCAGCTTCCGTGGGCTGGCCGAAGCTTGGGGTTGGAGTCTTTTGGAATTATCTCATTCACTCTGTTCTTCCTTTCATGAACTACAGGATGACCACAAACTCAGCAACAAGGAATTGGAAAGGAAATACGGTACCGACATCATTACGGTGAGTCAGCAGGGGACGGGGGTTGGGGGACAAGACCCTGGCTGTGGCGGAGGAGAAGGCTGTGGAGGAGGAGAGGGTGCCATTAGTGTGAGCGGCTGACAGCAGCAGCTCGGAGACCGCAGTCATCTGCGTCTGGGTGCTGGAGGCTCAAGTCTGCCCAGGTCCACAGCAACAGCTGCTCTGTGGTTCCCACTGGTGACAGGGACAAAGGAGGACAGGCGACCCTGGCCCTAAGGAGGAGGCTGCTGCGTAGGAGACGCAGATGTTCAGGGACGCGTCGTCATACGCACTCCATCCTGCCGGGGGTGGGGGGGGCCCGCGGGAAGCTGGACCGGTGCGCTGGGAGAACAGCGGATTCCGGCCAGACTTTCTCCGGGAAGGCTGGTTCCTGGGGAAGCCCCGCGAGGGCGCAGGGTTGCTCAGGCCGGAGCCTCCCTGTGGAGCCGGTGCAGGCCCGCCAGGGAAGGGGCGGCTCAGGGGGGCCTCAGGGCTTGGGTGGGACTTAGGCCTGCTAAGATGAACAAGAAGTTAGGGCGGATCTGCAGAAAAGCACCAGACGTAAGGATGAAAGATGCGCCCACATGCTCGCTACACAGAGGTTCCAGAATAGTTCATATTTCCTGGAGGGTCACTGCGCTGTCCTCAACCCTGGTGAGCAGCGTCTCTGTTTCAAATCCTCCTCCGCCGAGTTACTCCTGTCGCTGGGTAAATCTCTGAGAAACTCCAGTTCCTCCGCAGAGCGCAGAGCGGTGGCCCGAGCCGTCCCTCTGTTGGCCCTGGCGCTGCCACGTCCCCGCCAGGCGGCCTGGGCAGGCTGTGTAACCTCTTAACGCCTCAAACTCCACATGTGCCAATGAGGATGATAATGGCTCCTTCCTCCGAGGTTTATTCTGAACGATAAATGAGTAAATATATGGAGTACTGCCTGGCTGCCGTTAAATATTCCCTCAAAAAAATGAGGCATCGTCCACATTCCCCAAGACCTTCTGTGGGCACAGTTTTAGGTTATCAAGTATGAAATGTCTGATTGCCTTAAGTACTAAGTTCGGCAGTTGACATCTCTGACATTTCACTTTGACACTTTTTTTTTTTTTTTTTTGAGACAGAGTCTCACTGTGTTGCCCGGGCTAGAGTGCCGTGGCGTCAGCCTAGCTCACAGCAACCTCAAACTCCTGGGCTCAAGCGATCCTCCTGCCTCAGCCTCCTGAGTAGCTGGGACTACAGGCATGCGCCACCATGCCTGGCTAATTTTTTCTATATATTTTTAGTTGTCCGATTAATTTCTTTCTATTTTTGGTAGAGATGGGGTCTCGCTCTTGCTCAGGCTGGTCTCGAACTCCTGAGCTCAAACAATCCGCCCGCCTCGGCCTCCCAGAGTGCTGGGATTACAGGCGTGAGCCACCGCGCCCGGCGACTTTGACACTTCTTGTTTTATTTTATTGTGAAGGTGCATCCCCATTCCTCAAACACACCGTTTGGCTTGTGATTATCTTTCAGAATTTTTTTAAGAGCAATTTTTGTGAAACCAAAATTCGAAAATTTGTGTTGGTTTTGAATATGAGTTCCGTCTTGGAACCAGGGCTGTGCACACATCTAGAAATATCAACGAAGTATTTAGGAAGGATGTGGCTAATGAACGCACAGTACATCGATGCTTTGAGAAACTCCATTCTGGTGATTTTAATCTTGAAAATGAGCCACGTGGGCGACCTGAGACCAAGGTGGATCATGATGAGCTGAAAGCTGTACTGGAAGCGAATCCATCTCAACCTATGTGTGAACTAGCAGCAAGGTTTGATGTTACTATTCCAACAATATTGGACCATTTGAAACAAATCAGCAAGGTGAAGAAGCTGGATAGATGAATTCTGCATGAATTGAAGAGAAATCGTCTCGAAGCTTGCCTTCTTTGCAGTCACGACACACAGGAGAATCATTTTTACACCATATTGTTACATGTGATGAAAATGGATTCTTTTTGACAATTGTAACATTCGGCACAATGGTTGGATAAAGACGAAGTGCCGAAATACAGTCCAAAACTGAATATTCATCAAATGGTCCAGCACTGGTATTCTCCACTACAGCTTCATGAAACCTGGTCAGTCCATTACAGCGGATGTCTGCTGCAACGGATTAGATGAAATGATGAGGATGCTTGCGATTAAGCAGCCGAGACTGGTCAACAGAGACAGGCCAATCCTCTTGCAAGACATCACTCCACCACATGTCACACAAACAGCGCTGCTCATGCTACAGAAGCTGAACTTGGAAACTCTGTCATCCACCGTATCCACCAGACCTTGCACCAACTGCCTACCACTTCTTCCAGGCGCTTTGGACCACTTCTTGGTGGATACTCAATACTCAAAATACTCAAAATACTCAATTCTCAACAAGCTGTGGAAAATGCCTTTCGTGGTTTCATCACTACTCGCTCTCCAGGCTTCCCTGCTGCTGGCATAAACAAACCACCATTAAGATGGCAACACTGTGTCGATAGTTTAGGCACATACTTCGATTAATTGTACTCTTTTTTGTTTGCGATATAATAAACTACACTTTTGATTGGAAATCAGACATTTCATATTTTATGACCTAGTAACCACCTAACCACAAGCTACAAAAATAGGAAGCCCAGCTCCCGAGGGAGGAGGAATGTCTAACCCGTGCTGTCCGTGTCTGCTTTTGCTTGGCTTTCTCAGGGCCTCTCCAGCTCCAGAGCTGCCGAGCTGCTGGCTCGGGACGGGCCCAACGCCCTCAGCCCTCCCAAGCGGACGTCGGAGATTATTAAGTTCCTCAAGCAGATGGTGGGGGGCTTCTCCATCCTCCTGTGGATAGGAGCCTTCCTGTGCTACGTCGCCTACGGGATTCTGTACTCCAGCAACACCTCCGCATCCCTAGACAACGTAAGGCCCCAGCGTCCCCTCCTGCTTGCTGAGTTGGTACCAGGGCAGGACAGGGCCGTGGAGTCAGGCCTTGTGGGCACAGCAGGGGGCTGGAAGCGGAATTCTACCAGAGATCAGTGGCCGCGTGGGTGTGGGATAACCAGCAGTTTTCCCAGCTACAAAACGGCAGTGGTGTCTGACTTTCGGGTGTCCCAGAGGCAGTGCGAGCATGAATTTGAGAGAGACAGAGAGACACAAAACCCCTCCAGTTCCTAAGGGGAAAAAGCCACCTCCATGGGAAGTATTTCTGGGCTCCGTGTGCTCAGAGCTAGTGTCTCCCTTTAACACGGAGAGCGCCTGTGCCTGGGGAGACCTGAACGGGCCACAGGAGGCCGGGGGAAGCCGCCAGAGGCAGCGGTGGGTCGGTGGGGCTGGACGGGAGCAGGGAGTGACCCGGGGGCCGCAGGGGTCTGCCGGAGGGACGGGCAGCCCCGAGGCCGGGCTGTGGGGGTGCCTGCACAGCTCTGGAAACTCCCTGCAAATCAGCGCGTCGTGCAGTGAGCAGGTCGGGATCTGTGGCCTGTAAATCACGCCAGGACACGACTGCCCGTGTCTCGTCCCCCACGGAGAGCTCCAGCCCCGGCCCCAGCTCGTTCCTGATCCCCGTTCCTCTGCCTCGCGCCCTTCTCCCCACCCAGGTGTACTTGGGCTCCGTACTCATCCTGGTCGTCATTTTAACGGGGGTCTTTGCTTATTACCAAGAGGCAAAAAGCACCAACATCATGGCCAGCTTCAGTAAGATGATCCCGCAGGTGAGTCGCGGGTGAGGAAGCGTGGGCAGGCCACCTCCGCTCTCTGAACCCCCAGTCCTCACAGGGGCGGAGGACACCGCATGAGGCTCGATCCAGGAAAACGCCCGTCATTGCATGACATCTGTGCCTGCTCTCAGCATTCGGGGACAGTCATCGCGGGGGCGGGGGCTCCGGGAGGGACCTGTAGAATTCGGGGAATCGGTTCCCTGGCAGCCGAGGAGGCCCATCTGTGATTGTCTGCAACCGTTTTTGCTACCATTCCTGATCCCAGGGCATGTTGCCCCAAAATGCTCTCAGTGGGGAACCCAGTGTCCCCTGTCCCCCAGGAACCCCTGTCAAGTGGCCAGGGCAGGACAACCCCACTGTCCCTGGCCTGAGAGCTGCCTGCTGAGGGAAAGGCTCTGGGTGGAGGAGGTGACTCCCGCGGAGCCGCGCAGCCTGAGAGCGCCCGTTGCGGTTCAAGCCTGCGGGGCCCAGTACTCTACCCGGGTGCCCAGCCAGGGCGGCTGCTTCTCGCTGTCTCCCTTCCCACGTGGCCCTCTGGCTCCCTTTGCCAGAGGAGCACCACGGCAGCCTTTTCCGGTTGCAAGAACATCTTTGTGAGCTCAAGGAGAAATAGCCTTAGAGTCTTGGGCCAGGTGAAGCAGTCTTCAGTTTCATTTTTGCCACTCTGACAGCGAGGGTCCACTGCCCCGTCCTGGGGCTGGGTGTGGCACAGGTGGGGCAGGAGGTGGCAGGCTTCCAGGCGCCGAGGTGTCCGCCACGTTCTCTTCTGCAGCAAGCCCTCGTCATCCGAGATTCCGAGAAGAAGATAATCCCCGCAGAGCAGCTCGTGGTGGGAGACATCGTGGAGGTTAAGGGAGGAGACCAGATCCCCGCAGATATCAGGGTGCTGTTTTCTCAGGGGTGCAGGGTAAGCATCAGGGCGCCCACCCCGAGGACCGTGCTGGGAGCTGGCGAGCGCTCTGCCGTGTTTCCTGGCCTCGGCATAAGAGGCAGGGAAGCAGGTGCCTAATTTTGAACCGTTTTCAAAATTTCTTCTAGGTAGATAATTCGTGTCTCACGGGGGAATCTGAGCCCCAGTCCCGCTGCTCTGAGTTCACCCACGAAAACCCCCTGGAAACGAAGAACATCTGCTTCTATTCCACAACCTGTCTGGAAGGTGAGGCCGGCTGCCTCTCGGGCCACTCGCCCAGCCACAGGCCTTCCCCTTCCCCAGACCTCGGGTCTTTGTCTCTTTGCCACGTCTTGCTACAAAGCTTGTCCCAGAAGGACCGTTGGAGTTGAAGGGCGGATGCCACAGGCCAATCGATCGTGCAAGCCCCCGGAGGCTGTAGGAGGCCCTGATGCCCCCATAGCTGAGGACTCCTGGGATGAAAGGTCTGCTTCCCCTGCAGGCACCGCCACCGGCATGGTCATCAGCACGGGCGACCGCACCATCATCGGCCACATCGCCTCCTTGGCGTCGGGAGTTGGGAACGAGAAGACGCCTATTGCCGTTGAGATCGAGCACTTTGTCCACATCGTGGCGGGGGTGGCCGTCTCCATCGGCATCCTATTTTTCATCATCGCTGTGTCCATGAAGTACCACGTCCTCGATGCCATCATCTTCCTCATTAGCATCATCGTGGCCAACGTGCCCGAGGGCCTGCTGGCCACTGTCACCGTGAGTCCTTGCCGTCAGGCAGCCTGCGCCGACCCCGTGGACACCTAGCTGCTCTGCGGGGAGGGTCCCACGCGCACAGGCCCGGTCTCCCACCTCCAGGGCAGCACACCCTCCCGGCAGGGACAGCCAGGGAACATTCTGAATAGACCCTCTCTGAGAGGGTCAAAAGGAATTGTGACATTTGTAATGTTTGAATCCATTGTCCTTGGAAATGTTATATTTTCAGACCTGTCTGCAAGCCACAAATGTGACCCTGCCCCATTAAGATCTGGATAAGACAGACTCTACCACTTACAGCTTTTCTAGAAGCCTGATGCCTTCCCCACGTTTCCTTGGCAATTCCTACAACTTAGGAATTTAGGCTCATTGTTACATTTTTTTGCCTCACTTTGCTTCCCTCTCTCAGACAAAAAAAAAAAATTCCTCCCTCTTCTCCTGCAGAGGAATCCAGCCCTTTCCGTCCCTGCCCCCAGACTCAGCTCCCCGAGCCTGTGTGAGGCATCTAGCCAGCCCTCAGATAAGAGCCCCCCCAGTCTCTGCCGGGGAGGCCCGCGGGTAGGAGGGGAGGATTCCAGTTCCCGGTTTTGTAACTGCATGATCCCTGGTCTGGTGGCTCCTGACCAAAGGCAAGAGAAGTTTTGAATTCCAGGTCTCTTCTGACTCCAGGAGATAGTAATTTGGGGAAATTAGCGTCAAAAGAAGCCTTTGAGATCTTGGGGTTTAAAAGAAACTTTAGAATACAGAGCTCTTAAAGGGAAATACATGTGCTTCTTGGCTCCCCAAAGCAACAAGCGCGTCTTGGAGACAACCTCTTGGGCCCGGCGACCCAGGCCTCTCGTGTGAGTTCAGGCAGGGGCAGGCGGAGCGGGGCTCACTCTCCCTGCAGCTCCGCACACCAGCTGTGGGCCCTGTGAGCCCCTCGGGATCATCTCCTTTAAGGAATGAAGGGACAAGAAAAGTGTCTCATATTTAATTTTTTAACAGGGTTGTGGCATAGAGGGCTGTCAGAGGCTTATGAGCCACGAGGTCAGCTTGGCCTGGGCAGCCAGACCTCGCTCGCGAGGCCGGTTGAGCTCCCTCCTGAAACAGCCACAGCTGAGCTGCGCCAGCTCCGTGCCTCGGCGCCTGCGCTCCCATTGAGGCTTTCCCCAAAGCTTCCCTGTCTCTCTCTCCCCCGCCCCGTCAGGTGACGCTGTCGCTGACCGCCAAGCGGATGGCCAAGAAGAACTGCCTGGTGAAGAACCTGGAGGCGGTGGAGACCTTGGGGTCCACCTCCATCATCTGCTCCGACAAGACCGGGACTCTGACCCAGAACAGGATGACCGTGGCCCATCTGTGGTTCGACAACCAGATCTTCGTGGCGGACACCAGTGAAGACCACTCCAGTAGGTGTCCTGGAGCGCTGGGTCTGGTCTGAGGCCGGGACTCCCGCCCGGGCTGGGCTGGGCGCATGCAGGTCTGTGGGCTCAGAGCTGTGGGACAGACCGCGACGCGTGGATGACGGGCCGGCCCCCCACCCCCCCAGCAGCCGCTGCTCGCTCTGTCTTCCAGACCAAGTCTTTGACCAAAGCTCCCGGACTTGGGCCTCCTTATCCAAGATAATAACGCTGTGTAACCGGGCCGAGTTCAAGCCAGGACAGGAAAGTGTCCCCATCATGAAGGTAATGCTTCTGCGGCGCGGGGTGCTGGGTCTTAACACATTGACTCCCACACAAGAAAAAAAATTTTCCCTAGGGCCATGGTGTTTCATTAAAACAAAACAATCCGGCCGGGCGCGGTGGCTCACGCCTGTAATCCTAGCTCTCTGGGAGGCCGAGGCAGGCGGATTGTTTGAGCTCAGGAGTTCGAAACCAGCCTGAGCAAGAGCGAGACCTCGTCTCTACTAAAAATAGAAAGAAATTAGCTGGACAGCTGAAAATATATAGAAAAAATTAGCTGGGCATGGTGGCGCATGCCTGTAGTCCCAGCTACTCGGGAGGCTGAGGCAGGAGGATCGCTTGAGCCCAGGAGTTTGAGGTTGCTGTGAGCTGGGATGACGCCACGGCACTCTAGCCTGGGCAACACAGTGAGACTCTGTCTCAAAAAAAAAAAACAAAACGATCCTTTCTAATTTGTTATTTTTTATTGTTTTCTATGCGTGAGTTACATGCAATGCAAACCACCGTTTTAGAATTAAATTGTCAATATTAATTGTAACAATAAAAACATCAACAAGTAAGTATTTCATGAACCAGCTGCAGGGTTTTTTGCTTCACGAGGCCCCGGGCTCAAAACTAGCCTTAGTTAAATACAACTCGCATGGCTGTCAGTGTGTTAAATCACACCCGATTTGATGTCACTTGCTCTGTTCTGATGGGTGCTGGGTTTACTCTCTCCAGCTGAGTGAAGTTTGTACAGCTAGCACGAGACATGCAGAAAGTTCTGGTCCTTCTAACTAGCTGTGTGCCGCCTGGAAGCCTCTCAGCACGCTGCACTTGCCAGCTTCCTCCTGCACCTAGGCTGGCTGCAAATCCTTCTCTCATCCCCGACTTTCTGTCTTCCTGTGACATAACCATTCCACTTGTCAAGGGGCCAAAGTCCTCTCTGATTCTCTCCTTTCCTTACATCTACTGGGTCACCATGTCCTATCATTCTTGCTTCAAAATATACATAATTCTGTATTTCTGTTATCACCAATACTTTGCAACAACCTCTTAACTGGCCTCCCCAATTCCAGTTTATCCCTCACAGGGTCTTCTTGGAATCTCATTAATTTTCAGTAAATACCACTCTATTCTTTACCTAACTTTGCCCCCAAACTTCCTGTGCTTCCCTCTTTTCTGCCCCTGAGTCTAGAGCTCAGCCTGCCTCTCAGGGCCTCCACGCCTCGCCACCCCTCCGTTTCCTCCTGTGCTCTGAACACTCACAGAGGAGCCTCGCCCTTTGCGCTCTGCTGCTGCAGTCGGGTTTCCAGAAGGCTTTCTGCTCCTCTGTGCACGGCTCCCACCTGCCCATCAAGACCCAGCTCGTCCCTGCTGTTGTCTGTGCAAACCCCGCCGGTCACAGAGCGCCAGCTGCCTTGAATTTCCGCGGTACCAGCAGGTGGCACCGTTGCTTCACATTCCTGCCTTTGTCCCGCACGGGTCCCTGCGTGTCCTGGGACGGGCTCGTCTCTCCCACTGCACCGAGCTCCGCCAGGAGCAAGTCGGTTCCTGCGCTAAAGGCGTGTGGCTGGAAACAGTCATAAAGAACCAGACTATGCGCTGCAAGTATCTGTTGATCTCTTTCCATTCGCAGAAAGTCGTGGTTGGAGATGCCTCAGAAACTGCTCTTTTGAAATTCTCAGAGGTCATTTTGGGTGATGTGATGGAAATTAGAAAAAGAAACCGCAAAGTAGCTGAAATCCCTTTTAACTCTACTAACAAATTTCAGGTGAGTTTTTCCTGACAGCTGGTGATCTTTGTTAGCACTAGAATGAATTTCTACCTGCAGGTGTCCTTTGGCCACCCCATCCTTTGAGTGGTTCCTGACCTCAGAAACAGTCCCTGGGGGTACAGGCCTGGGCATCGGGTCCGCCCGGGTCAGCTGGCCCCTGCTGGCCCCCGTGCTTCTCCTCATGTAGGCTGGAGGAAAAAAGAAAGGGAAAGATCTTTTTGGGGTCTGGCTGCCCCTAGGAATGATCCGTCTACATCACATACACGCACACGCACACCCCCCCGCCACACCACCAGGTAACTGCCGCACAGGTGGGGATCCACAGCCGCATCCTGGAGGATGAGGAGAGGCGGGCGCGGGGGGAGCGCCGACACTCATGCACACCGGCACACGTCAGGCCCGGCCCCCGCCCGCGGCGGCTCAGGTGATCCGTGCGGCAGGCCGGTGCCCAGGTGAGGAAACAGGCCCGGAGCACGTGTTGCTGGGACCACAGTCACACAGCACCCGAGTGGCACACCCAGCTCTCCCGTCTGACTCCAAAGTCCATGACGGTTCTAGCACGACACAGAGGCAGGACAGCCCAGGCCTGGCGGCGGGGCGAGCCCTGCCCTCTGTGGAGACCAGTGGACGGTCTCTTAGACGGTCACCGTGGCTTTCCAGTTGCCCGACATGCTGCGGCCGGGATTCCCCTCGCACCCACGGCTCAGGAAGACAGTGGCTCTCCCTGCCTAGTTCTGTCCCCTCATCACAGGGTCGACACGTCACCTGTCTGCATCCTCCTCGTGTCACCGTGAGTGATGGTTTATAGCCCCAGGTCCCGATGCAGATGGGATTTCCCGTAGAATCCCGGAATGCAGGCTGGAAACAGGGACCATGACGCAGGCTTCGTATAAGTGTAGAATAGGATGACTGCGTGTGTGTGTGTGCATGTGTGTGTGCGCGCGCGTGCGCGTGTGGAGAGAGATCTCTGGGGATTACGCACCCATCTTTGTTTGGGTGGAATTGAGGCTGGAGAACTCTGTGTCGCAGATGTCGTGCTTGTGGATAATGAACCAGCGAGGAATCACAGTCAGCTAAACGGACAACTCACAAAAATGTGTGATGTAAAACACTGAAGCCAGGAAATCAGACGTCTTATTCCAAACCTAAGTCAAAAGGGAGCGGGTAACCGTCCTAAAATGCCAGTAGTAATAGTAGCCACTCAGTGCCAGTTTCCACGTGTGTTAAATCCTTCGTTCTCACGACCGCTCTGCCACAGACGGGCGAGGACAGCGGGGCGGGGAGCACGCGTGCACTGCGGGGAGGACAGCGATGTGGGGAGCACGCGTGCACTGCAGGGAGGACAGCGATGTGGGGAGCAGACGTGCACTGTGGGGAGGACAGCGGGGCGGGGAGCACACGTGCGCCAGGGAGAGACCAGGGAGATGGCCTGATCAGGAACGAGGCTTGGGACCCCGCTGGGCTCTGTCTCCCGTGGCAGTAGCATTCCCCGTGGGGAGAAGTGAAGAGCCACAGGTCCCAGGAGGCCGCATGGGCAGGCCGGGCAGGGCGCGGGCGCACAGTGGGCCTGAGGGGTGAGGGCCCGTGTGAGCGCCACAGGAGAGGTCAGAGATGCTCCCTCGGTGCCGTGAGGGCCATTTTGCACACACAAGTGAGCGGCTCTGGCGTACATCCACTCGAGGAAAGAAAGCAGAAAGGCGGCTCCCAGGGATCTTAGGGCAGCAAGGCCCCAAACAGACTGCTCCCCGAAAATATTTAAAAGGGTTTATGGCAAATCAGAAAAATAGGACAATGTTTTATACTGTTTTATATACAGATGAACATATTTAGTTTAAAAGATTATGCTCTGTGTCCTCCCTGATCAAGGGCAGGGACACTCTGGAGCTTGCTCGTCCGGGTTCAAATCCCGGCTCCGCCACTATTAGTGTGTGACCCTGAGCAAGTCACTGACCCTCTGTGCCTCAGTCTCCTCCTTTGTAAAGGGTTTGATGGTAACAGTAGTGCCTGTGGCCTTTGGGTGGTTTTGAGGATTAAATGAGTCCAAGTATACGGCACCTAGAACAGTGCCCGGCACATGGCGTACACCCTAGAAGCGTTTCTTTTTCTTACTCGTTAAATGTGAAAAGCCTTATCTTTTAGAAAATGATGGTGATAATAGACGGGAGGGTTTTGTTCGGTTTGGTTTTGGTTTTGGCTGGTTGGTTTTATCCTTAGTATTGTTACTTGGCCATCAAAGCAGCAGCGGCAGCAGCAGCCCTATCTGCCCGCTCCCACTGGGGCTTCTCTGCTACGTCTCGTTCATGTCCGACAGTCCAGGAATTACTGGTTTGGAATCAACCGTTAGACCCCAAATGGTAGGGTTGCTCTTTATGACGTATTTTCCCCCCGAACACTCCACCTTCCTGAGATTCTTCCTTAGTGTTCAGAAGAGCCCCTGGCAGATGTAAAAGTCAGTCATTTTATTCTTGTATAGAGATTTTTTTTGATATTTTTTCTAATTATCTTAGGTTGGATCTAGCAGTAGAATTGCTAGGTCGAGGCATTCACGTTAAAATTGCGACACTGAGGGCCTGGCTGCCCTCCCAAAGGGCTGTGTGTGAGCCTGTCCCTTCCTCACACCCCTGCCGCCTTCTGCTGCACCAGCGTCAGGACCAGACTGGGCCCGAGACGGGCGCGGGATCCCTGCCGCCGAGTCCCGCCTGCGCTCAGCATAGCTCGGGTCTGACACTGCTGCCCCCACGGGGTGGAGCAGGAGCGATGCAGAGGCGACAGCCCCCCAGCTCTCCCAGGCACCCCAGGAGATCTCGTTCAAGGCACAAGATTTCACGGGCTGACGGCCACGTCCGGCCTCCCTAAAGCAGCCGGTTTCTGTCTGAAAGACTCGGTGCCTCCCTGGGCTGGGCCCAAGTCCAGATCTCTGCGTGTTACTTGGCCACCAAGATAAACAGGATAGAGCACGCCGGGGGTGTCGTTGCTCCCCCTGTACGTGTTGAGGACAAGGGGAGAGCTGGGAGGGGTTTTCTCCTTCCTGGACCTGACACGCCCAACTCTTTCCTGCCAGCTCTCCATACATGAGACGGAGGACCCCAGCGACAAGCGCTTCCTCGCGGTGATGAAGGGGGCCCCGGAGCGGATCCTGGAGAAGTGCAGCACCATCATGATCAACGGCCAGGAGCAGCCGCTGGACAAGGGCACGGCCAGGGCCTTCCACACGGCCTACATGGAGCTGGGCGGGCTGGGCGAGCGCGTGCTGGGTGAGCGAGGAGGCGGGGCAGGCGCCTCGGGCCACCTGCCATCCGGCAGAGTGGCTGTGGCATCCCTTGGAGCACGCAGAGGAGGATATGGTGAACAGGAGGGGCACAGAGGGGAGGATGCCGTGTGACAGCACCCAGCGGGGTGGGGTCCAGGGAAGCGGGAGGGGGCAAGACTGTGGAAGAGTTACGTCTTTATGGCCTTGAGCGACAGCACGTGGAGCGCAGTGGGGACAGTATCTAGGGCAGAAGGAACAACATCAGCAAGCACAGGGGCAGAAGGGATTGCCGGGCAGATGGGGTGGCACAGTTGCGGGAAGCAGGGCTGGAGGGATAGACGGAAGGTCGTGAGCGCGGGTGAGGAATCGAGCTTCATCCTGCAGTCGGTGGAGGAGGCCGAGGGCTTTGCGGCAGAGTGAACCCAGCAGAGCCGCAGGCTTGGGTGAGGATGGCCCTGGTGGCAGCAGGGAGAGGAGCCAGGGGCTCCCTGGGGGGTGGCTGTCCTCGCTCAGGGGAAGGGGACAGGCATCTGGTTAGGGCAGGGGGCGTGTGGAGGAGGGGTCCGGGCAGGAGACGTGATTGATGGAGGCAGAACTGGGAAGATTAAGCCCTGGTTACAGTAGAGTAGTAAGTTAAAAATGATTAAGCTCCGCATTTAGCAACTAGGAAAACAGTGGTGCCCATACCGGAGACGGGCGGTATTAGAGGGGAAGGAACCTTGGAAAGGGAGCCTCGGTGCGAGGAGCCCAGGGTGGTACCTGTGGCGGCATCACGGGGACAGCGGCCCGTCGCCAGGACCAGGTTGGCGGAAGGGCGCCTGTTCAGGACCGGGGTGATGAGTGCGGGGACACGGGAGTGTGCGCTGGATGATGAGGCTCGTTGAACGCCACGAAAGCTCCTGCCAGCAGAGAGGGACGCTGTGGCGTGTGCATTTCTACAGGCCAGTTGAGTCCCTAAAGCAGATGAAGCACACACATGAGATGACAATGTCGTAGGCTTTCTCCGCAAATAGCCACAGTGCCAGGTAGTCTTTTCAGCACCGGGTGGACGGATCCCCGGCTGACCAGAGTCGCGGCGGGAACCTCGTGTTTGGCCTCTCTAAGTCTGCTTGGCTGCAATTTGCGAAGCAGCGGGCCACTGAGGATAAAAGTGTTGTAAAAGCTGATGAGAGGGTCATGCGATCTTGGCGTTCCCGCCAGACACAGGAGTCCCTTCTGTCTCGGCCCGTGAGAGGCTGATGTCTTCCGGAAAGGATGGTGCGGCCTGGTCCTAATGGCCTTTCTCCTGCGTTTATCGTGATTAAAGACGGAACCTCGGACCACTGCCCTGATGGCTCCAGTTCCTTGCCCACTTCGTGTAGTAGCATGTGCCGTTTTCTCTGCCAAAGATGGCCTTCCCACCCCATCCTTTCTTCCTTGCCTGGAAACCTCTGTGCCCCCTCGAGGCTCAGCTCACGTGCGACCTCCTTGGGGACGTGTCTCCCGACTCTCCCGCTGGCTCAGCCTTTGCTGCGCTGCATCTCTTTAGCTCTCTGCCCCCCAGGGAGCTGGGACTTCTCCAGAAGTACAGGCTGTGCACTCACGGTGTTTGTAGCTCTACAACGTGACATGGAACCTAGTGAGCACACAGTAAATCGTTTTCAGATGAAATATGTCTTCCCTTAAAAAATATCCTGTATTACAGCATCGAAGGAAGTAAAGAATTCCAGTACATTCTAATGCATTAGCAAAATAGTAGAGGACTGAGAGTGTATCAGCATGTCCGCCCACTTTTCTGTTTGTCATTTCTCATCCTAGTTTCATTAACTTCCAAATTCGTCCCACTCCAGGTTTCTGTCACCTCTACCTGCCAACAGACAAGTTTCCAGAAACCTACTCGTTTGACACGGACGCCATGAACTTCCCCACCTCCAACTTCTGCTTTGTGGGGCTCTTGTCGATGATCGACCCCCCTCGGTCCACCGTGCCAGACGCCGTCACCAAATGCCGCAGCGCGGGGATCAAGGTGGGAGCTTGTCGCTGCCTCGAAAAGGTCTCCATCTGTGGTGAATCCTTCCTAGTAATGTTGGTCACGGGGCATGGTCGGTATTTAGGTCTCTTCAAGTAAATGTCATCATCCCCTTTTAAAATCTCTGCTTCCACTGTGCTAAGATGTCGGTAACTGTCCTGTAAAAGCAAATTATGGTGTCTGTGTGGAGAAACCACAACGGTAACTGCGGCGGGAAGAGCCTCCCCATTCCCTGCGGCGGCCCTGTCTTGCCCTAGACTGTGACAGATCGTGAAAGGCTTTATTACAAGCTCCGAGGTTCAGCCTCCATCATCCATTTATCTTCATGACATTTAAACCAAAACGTGGACTCCGTTACCACGTTAGTATCAAGACTGTGGAAGCCACGTGGGGCTGCTCCGAGTAGGCATCTACTGGCCCTTTCGCAGATAAAGTGACTTCCAGGGGGAGGGGCTTTCTCTAACGTCAGAGGAAGAAGCGCAGGCAGCTTAGGAGCAAGAGCAACCCCCGTGGCATTAACGTGTCCTCCCAAGACGGTGTCTCAGGTCTCAGCACTGGCCGTGACAAACCACAGCAATCCCTGACCGCGTCCTCCCAGGCCATGGGGAGGAGGCCACACTGAGCTGTCCCCACTTTGGCCGGCCGAGTCCTCGGTGCCCATGGGCCTTCTTGTCTGTGCTCTAGGTCATCATGGTCACCGGCGATCATCCCATCACAGCCAAAGCCATCGCCAAGAGCGTGGGGATCATTTCGGCCAACAGTGAGACAGTGGAAGACATCGCCAATCGCCTCAACATCGCTGTGGAGCAAGTTAACAAGCGGTGAGCACGGAACCAGCCCAGCAGATGCTCTAGCTCTGACCTGGGCGGCCCTGCTGGCTCTAAAGAGCGGCACCATTTGGAGCAAATCACCTTTTTGCCAAATGCCCTCTCAGGCAATGCCAGGCTGGTTTGATCTATAATTCACATATCCATGGGTTCACTCGAAATTTAATTGAGCATCTAATATGTGCCAGGTGCTATACTGATGTCATAAAAATGACCCTTTAATATTCCTTGTCTAAAATTTCAAAATTCAGTGGAGTAGATCTGGAAACATACATGCCAATTTGGAGTAAGAAAAACTGAAACAGATGGTTTATGTGCAATTACTTGGCCGTGGTCCAGTCGTGTAATTAGGAATAGTAAGAACCTTTGGGGTTTCATGCAGCCCCTGGTGAGCATCTTGGGTTTTTATCTATTCAGCTGGCTTCAAAATGCGTAGCTATGTAAACACTCTTCTTTCCTATTTGGTAGTATATAGAATGAAAGCTTCCTCAAGAAAGCTTTTTTCCTTGTTTCTCCTAATTCTTTTAATCATGTTTATCCCTTAGTCCATCTGTCTAGCCATTCATTCGCCTATTAATTCTTTCAACAATTGTTAGTTGAGTGTCAGCTGCACACCAGGCGCTCTCCTAGACCTGGACCTAGAGTAGCAAACGGAACGTACTGTCCCCACCCTTGGGAACATCCCGTCTGCCGGGGAGATAGAGAAGCACCGGTCGTGCCGTGGTCAGAGTCATGGACACACTGGGCCGAGGGGCGGGTGTGGGCGGAGCTGGCCCGGACTTGGGTGGATTTAATGAGTCAAAGACGCCAAAGTCTCAGGGTGAAGAGAAATGTCGTTGGCTGGATTATACTGTCATGCATGTGGGGGAAGGGAAAGGCCAGTGAAGGGCTGTGGTTTACCCGAGCACACGGGCCTTTAGGGACACAGAGCCGCTAGGTCACAATTTACCGAGTCAGACACCCAGCAGGATCCCCGCCTCGGGGCGCGGCAGTGTCTGAAGTCTGCTCTTCCGTATAAGTAACATCCCTCTCTGAAAACAGCTTTGGGGCTTGTTCATTTCACTAAAAATAATGGATTGTACATTTTTTTCATTTTAGCAGTTTTTAGAGAAAGTCGTCTATAGGACGACTCTTGCATCTCCTGAGTCATTTCTTCCCTATGTGAATATTTGCCCTTTTCCTTCCCTACGCGGTGAGATCTGGTTTCCTGTCCAAGGGTCTTTCAGGTCTTTGTCCTATTTGAGCCTAGCCGTATCCCGCTGCTGGGTGGACGTCCACGCGGACAGTTGTGTCCTCAGCCTCCCCGCAGCACCAGTCAGCGCAGGTGACGTGTTTCCTCCCGAAACCGTGACTGCTTTGACAGTCTGACGACTTCCCTGGTGTCCAGACCTGACCTTCATCATCCTCTGGGTGGGCATGGACTGAACACTGCGCTTCTGTCTCCGCTCCGTGGGAAGAGGGGAAACCTGCTCTCCCTGTGAATGTGGACGGTGCACTGAGATGCCGGTTACCGTCTCTCTTCGGTCAGAAGTCACAACGGGATGGAACTTCATTCTGGCTCTGCCACTTTGGCGATGGCCACAGATGGGAAGAGCGGATTGTACATTTGGTTTTTCTTTTTTTTTTTGAGACAGAGTCTCACTCTGTTGCCCTGGCTAGAGTGAGTGCCGTGGCGTCAGCGTAGCTCACAGCAACCTCAAACTCCTGGGCTCAAGCGATCCTCCTGCCTCAGCCTCCCCAGTAGCTGGGACTACAGGCATGCACCACCATGCCTGGCTAATTTTTTCTATATATTTTTAGTTGTCCGATTAATTTCTTTCTAATTTTAGTAGAGACAGGGTCTCGCTCTTGCTCAGGCTGGTCTCGAACCCCAGAGAGCTAGGATTACAGGCGTGCGCCACCGCGCCCGGCCCGGATTATACATTTTGATCCAAGTCACCCCACCGAGTGAAGTGGGAGTCTTTGCGAACGTTTTGGCGTATTCTCTTCTTCAGCTCTAGTTTCATGACCCATGAGATCGCATCTCGGCAGGGGTCTGGGGAAAGGAAACACCCTTCCTTCCTTTCTTTGACAGTTTTTACCCGCAGTACGAAGACCTGTAGCTTGAGTCAAGTGCTAGAATTCCTATATTTAGCGAAAGGAGGAAAAACAGGCCTACAAAGCGCGAAACTTACAAAATGTAGAGAAGGGTCTGCCAGGTTTCCCACCTGTGGCGTTTTAGCCGAGATTTGAAGGCTCAAATGTGGAGTGTTAGCCCAGGGGAGCCGAGTGAGAAATGCCCCTTCCTGGCAGGGGAGGAGACCAGTGAAGGCCCTGGGGCAGGTGGCGTGTGGGGGTCTCCAAACCGAGGGGGTCTGCTGGGCTGGGGGAGCCCGGGGCGCTGGGTGTGGCGGAGCGCAGAGGGAAGCGCCGGAGGAGGGTCAGTGGGGGAGTGGCGTGGTCCGCTCGGCACGGCCAGCAGGCCCTAGCGCCTTGCTGCCACGCGCAGAGGACGCCGGTGCTCAGAGAAGACCTCGGTGAACTCTTCTGCCCAGGTAGCTCGTCGCACATAGTAGACTCTGCAAATCGGAACCAAACAACAGCAAAGAATTGTTACCTCTGCGCTTTGGCATAAGGGAATTCTAGGACCCAAAACATAGGAGCAGGCAGTGTCCCCCCACCCCCACTTTTACCTGTGAAGTAAAGCGTGGCTCCGGGAAATGCCACCTCTCACCTGTGCCGGCAAGGGAAAGGCCATTGGCTTTTCATTCCTATTGTTATAGGACACCGGGAAATGGTCTTTTTTGTTTTTTCTTTTTACCTCTGTTTTCTATCTTGAAATGGAGACTGACGTGTCCCCAGTACTCACAACCCCTGTCACCTCACGAGGGTCGCAGCTGTCGAGGACGTTGGGTTCCAGGCAGAGCCAAGGCGGCGCCGGCCCACGTCCTGCCCGGAGCAGTGTCTCACCCCAAGGTTGGGCCCCGGGCCTCACTGGGTTTCTTTCCGGCCTCCCCAGGGATGCCAAGGCCGCCGTCGTGACCGGCCAGGAGCTGAAGGACATGAGCCCGGAGCAGCTGGACGAGCTGTTGGCCGGCTACCCGGAAATCGTCTTCGCCCGCACGTCCCCGCAGCAGAAGCTGATCATCGTGGAGGGCTGTCAGAGGCAGGTGGGTGGGCGGCGGCGCCCCGAGGACTGGCCGGCGCGGTGCTGAGGTCCGCGCCTCAGATCGGGCTGGGACGCCCCGTCGAGGCAGAGTTCTGTGCCCGTCCTGGCCACCTGCCCTCTCCGCTGCCAGGTGCGCGGCCCCCGTCCCCGAGAGCCCCGGTGGCCGCGCGCTCCCCGAAGGGCTGGGCCAGCTCTCTTATCACGGGAGCCGGGGGTCTGACAGGGAAGCGTCTGCCACCGGGGCAGGCGTGAGTAGAGAAAGATTTTACAATGTAAACATAGAACAAAACACCTGCAGACATCAGATACAAAATGCCCCTGTCCGCTGCCAGCCGCTGGGCTTTTCTCGCGGGAGCACGTGCTGTTCCCAGCTCCTGTTCCTGCTGCGGAGACGCCCGTCTTCATCTCGCCCGAAACGGGCCCTTCATCTCGAGGCTGCGGGAGGCCGCGGTGCTCTTGCCGACCCGTGACCCCGGGGCCCCCTCACTCTGTCTCCTCCCCGGGTCCCCCCAGGAGGCGGTCGTCGCCGTGACAGGGGACGGCGTTAACGACTCTCCCGCGCTGAAGAAGGCAGACATTGGCATCGCCATGGGCATCGCGGGTTCTGACGCAGCCAAAAACGCCGCCGACATGGTCCTGCTGGACGACAACTTCGCGTCCATCGTCACGGGGGTGGAGGAAGGTGAGTGGGTTCGGAGGGGTGGTCTTCCCGAGGCCCGGGTGGCCTGGGAGGTGGCGGCCAGTCCCGTGAGGAGACGCGTCTTCGCCTAGGCCGCCTGATCTTTGACAACCTGAAGAAGACCATCGCGTACACCCTGACCAAGAACATCGCCGAGCTCTGCCCCTTCCTCATCTACATCATCGTGGGGCTGCCCCTGCCCATCGGCACCATCACCCTCCTGTTCATCGACCTGGGCACGGACATAGTAAGTGGCTCCGGCGCTGGGCTGACCCCCCCGGGGCAGGTTAAGTGCAGGGTCATTTCCCTCAACGGCCGGGAGACGGACTAAGCTGGTGCTTCTCAGACTTTGGCCCGACGGGGCCTGTGGCTCTGCGGTTCCGACAGGCTCCCAGGTGGCCCCAGGTCTGCCGGGCCACAGAACACACTTCCAAGCACAGGACCACAGACACCTGTCAGATGCTTGGTGATTAGAACCGCTTCGCTCCATGTAGAGCTCGGCAAGACCTGACTCTTTACCCTCCAGAAAAAAAAATACGCCACTGGTCAGTGTCAGCCCACATGCCTCCTATTTCTCCGGGGAAGGTGAAGCTGTCACCCAAACTGTGCCTGTGCCGCTGGGGGCCCAGTGGCTACCGTGACAATCCCACGGCCGCCCTTGTGAAGTAGCAGAGTCGGGTGTGGATGCCCCCCTCCTGAACACAGTGAGAAGTCGTGGCCGCTGAGACTTTATAAAGCTTTGCCCTGTAATAATGTCACCTAAACCCTCCTCTTTTCCAATATGCATCCATTTAAAGAAAACCTCGTGAAAGTTGCCCCTGTGGCTCTGGCTTCTGGGCTCAGGGACAAAGCAGGAGAGAGCTGGCCGAACCCACAGCCGGAAAGGGCCCACGGGCTGCCTCCTTCCCCCTCTGGCTCTGTTTGGCCCCAGCTGATCCCTACGTGCAGGGAGATCGGAGCTGTCTCCACCTTGAGGTCCCCACAGTTGATAGATCATTTCCCAAGCCCTTTACATTCGCTCATTCTGTTTTCCAAGGACGGCCCAGGCATCACCTGGAAACCTGTCACAAATGCAAATTCTGGGCCCTGTGCACCTGCAGTTCCAGCTACGCTGGAGGCTGAGGCAGGAGGATCATGGGAATTTGAATCCAGCCTGGGCAACATGGAGAGACCTTGTCTCTAAGAGAAAAAGTTTTAATTAAATACAGCTAAACAAAAAATATTATCCCAGATTTCCAGGGTAGGGATCATGGAAATGGTTGTACCTTCATTGTCTTTAAGTAAAGAAAAGGAAAACAGAGAAAGAAATGCAGATTCTGTGGCCCCAGCCCAGGCCTCCCGAGTCGGGCGGTCTGGAGGTCGTGCACAGGCTCCAGGTGGGGCTGGGACAGAACCGCTGTCGTGCCACATTGCTTTGGGAACCGGTGGCATCAGAAGGGGAGAGAGCGGCACCAGAAATCCTCCTTGTGGGGGACAGTGTCTTATACCCAGCATTGTTTGGAACTGCCAGCACATGGTGGTACTACGAACAGTGACTTTCAAAGCTGCTGTTCTTAAATTCCGTGCAGACGGTGCACCCCTGCTGCCCGCAGCCTGGGCGGACCAGGTGCCTGTCCCCCGGCACCGTCCAGCTGTCGTCCCACCCAGCCCAGCCCGCGTCCTTCTGTGGGTAGAGCAGAGCATCCTTGGGTGAGCGTCACCTCCTCTCCCCTTCCAGATTCCCTCCGTTGCCTTGGCCTACGAGAAAGCCGAGAGTGACATCATGAACAGGAAGCCTCGCCATAAGAAGAGGGACAGACTGGTGAACATGCCCCTCGCCGTGTACTCCTACCTGCACATCGGTACGCTGAGGGCCCCCCCACCCCGCCCGAGAACTCGCTGGAGCTGTAGGCACAGTCGGGAGTGTGGTTTCCCTCTGGGGCGTGGGTTGGGGCGTGGGAAGGAGCTGGGACGGGACCGGGCAGTTCTCTGCAGCCGTCGTAGAAGCTGCGTCCACGTCTCGCGCTGTTTCAGGCCTCATGCAAGCCCTGGGAGCTTTCCTCGTGTATTTCACCGTCTACGCGCAGCAGGGCTTCCTGCCCCGCACTCTCATTAACCTGCGGGTGGAATGGGAAAAGGACTACGTGAATGACTTGGAAGACAGCTACGGGCAGGAGTGGGTGAGTGACCAGAGCCCTCTGGCAGTGTCCGCCTGGCTCTCCCCTCCGCCCTGCCGGGACTCACCCGGAACCTGCGTGTCCCCGAATGGCCTTGATGAGGCAGAGACAGTGAACGCTCAGTTCCTGGGGCGCGGGGCCCCTTTGTGACACTGGTTTGGCTTTTGCTGGTTCGAGGGATGCAGCCTCATCTCCCCAGCTATACCACAAGAGCTCACTTTTGTACATTAGCTTTGCCGTTGCTATGGGCGACTGACCAACCCGACCACACCCGCACGTGGGCCAAATAAATTAACATCTTTCCCCATTCACCCGGTGCAAGGAAAAAGTGTTTCTTTCCAAACGCTAGGAGGTGGTCTGCTCTGAATCTGGTGAGGTGGGGAACAGTGAATCCATACAGAACTGCACGGAAACCTCCTGGAAGTTTTCCTCCGGCTCTCACGGTCTCTTCCTTCTCTGCCCATGAGCAGACGCGGTACCAGAGGAGACACCTAGAATGGACCGGCTACACGGCTTTCTTCATTGGCATCCTTGTCCAGCAAATAGCAGATCTGGTCATCAGGAAGACCCGGAGGAACTCCATCTTCCAGCAGGGTCTCTTCAGGTACTGCCCACGCCTGCCGTGCCAGGGTGACCCTCAGCTGTGAGTTGCAGGACCCCGCTCTGGCTGTGCCTGTAACGCGCGAGGCCTTGACGCCTCCAGCGGTGAGGTCAGAATCTGTTTGCTCTTGCGTGTGTTGCAGAAATAAAGTCATCTGGGTGGGGATCGCCTCGCAGATCGTCATCGGGCTGCTGCTCTCCTATGGCCTCGGAAGCGTCACGGCCCTGAGTTTCGCCATGCTCAGGTGAGCTCCCCTTCAGCAGCCTTGAGGACAGAGCCAGCCAGGTTCCGAGCTGTCACAGCCTAAGAACACGTGGGGATATTCCCAGGGGTTCTTCTCCCAAAGTCCTCGGAGAGAGATCGCCCTGGTTCCACGCTTGTGAGCCCCAGGCTGTGACCTGGCTGTGTCCTACCAGAGGAAGTGGTTTTCCAGACCTCGCCAGCCCATCTGCACCCTCATCCCCCAGGGTGCTTCACAGGCAGATGTCACAGTCCAGGACAAACGAGGAGCTTTCCAGTTCGATGTTGTGGGGCCCAGTGGATCTGTTGTCTTCCCAGGAGAGCAGGGAAAACGGACAGGAAGCCCCTGCCCGTTAGCCGGGTTGGGCTGTCCCTTTGGATGAGCCAGGACTCACCCCCTCCCTTCTGCTCCCAGGGCTCAGTACTGGTTTGTGGCCGTGCCGCACGCCGTCCTGATCTGGGTGTACGATGAGGTGCGGAAGCTCTTCATCAGGCTCTACCCCGGAAGTGAGTAGCCGTGTGATTTCTGAGGCTCTCTTCGCCTGCTTCCGTGGGCCGTCCGTGTCTCATTACCCGTTTCTGCCTCTGCAGGCTGGTGGGACAAGAACATGTATTACTGAGACCGCCTCACTTCCCAGGGCTCCCGGCGGCTCCCCGGGGATGCTCGCGTCCTCTGGGCACTGGCTGGGAGATCCCCCTGCAGCGCCGACACCGTGGGAACGCGTGCACGCCGGCGTTCGTGCGGAAAGCCGCTTGAGCGACGCTCACCGAGGTTTTGTACTTTAAAGCCGAGATTCGACTATTTATATAGGATTTTCATCTCTATCCCATCTCCTCATTTTAGATGTGAATTTCGAGGTCTTGGTCTAGGGAAGGACGTGTTTCTATGCACATAGAGCTGCCTGATGTCAAATGGTCTTGTAGCCCAGGCATCCGCAGGGGTCTGCCTCGTGCCCCGGACAGGATGGCTTAGGCCGCCCTCCCGCACCCTATTAAAGGCCAGTGACCTCCCTGATTCCTGTGAATCCCCTAGGACATGTATTTTCGTGATCGCCTTGCTCAGGAAAGGCAGACTCAGCACAGACTTGCGGGAGGTGGAGGTGTGGCAGGTTCACGTCACAGCCGCACGGGGGCCTCAGTTCTGACTCAGGGACGTCCTTCTTGAAGGCTCTCGCCACCCGGCCACGACTGTTTCCCTGGCCTTGTCACCTCCTTGACGCCTCTCGTCACCTCTCCAGCCCTTTTGTGTCCCCCCACCCCCTCCATCGCCTTCCACCCCTGCCACCCGATCTGAGCTCCGAGTCCACTTTGCAGACCCAATGCTCCGCCGACGCAGAGGGGCGTCACCAGCATTAGCCCCGGCGGAGAGCCGTTATGGTTTCAATACTCAATATTTATTTCGTGTAAAACACTTGCCCGGCGCTCTCCAGCAATAGTGTCACGTCAGTCGTGTTCATGCCCATAGGCCTGGAGAGGCCTCGTTTTTAAGTAAAAGATATTTTATAAAACCAGGTCTTATTGTGGTGTTCTAATTGATTCAAGTTTTTCTAGAATGCAGAGCCCAGGACACACAAAAAATGAGATGCAATTGCCTTTTTTTTTCCCTCCTTGTCTTTGTACCTATGTGTGGGAGGTCTGGAAATGTGGGGTCTCCCTTCTGCACCCCTCCCTCAGAGCCCCGGGGCTCCAGCCTGGGCCTCTGGAGCGCCCCAGCTTCTCGGTGGCGACCCCGCGGGAGGGCCTGGCATCCGACAGGGGCGCTGCAGGGAAAGGAGCTTCCATGAGGTTTGGTCACTGCACACCCAGCACCGGCTGATCTGGCAGCACCTGGAAAGGGTGTCGGGTCGAACGTTCTCCACCCAGAGGCCTAGCCCACGGCCCCTCCTCCAGCACCCTCGCTCACTCGGGGGCATCCGCGGCCGAGGCTCTGAATGGGCGTCTCTGGGACAGTGAAAGGGATACTTAGAGCCGCCCGTGCTCTCAGGATACGTGTGGGAACAGCAAAGAGGGAAGGGGCCGTCCTTGTAGCTTTACGTACGCAGATTCTGACATCCAGTGTGCACTGCGTGTGGCTATTTCAGCTGAAGTAACGTTGTTGTCCTCAGGTTTTTAACGTCTATGTTCAGCCGCAGTCATCACGGGACTAATCTCCTATCAGTGGTTCAGGGAACCGGAAAGCCTTTCCAGCGTGGTCAGGCCATGCGGTGATGGCCTTCTCGTTCCGGTCCTGACAAGGCGCAGACGCTTTCCAGACACCGAGCCGTCCTTACTGTCCCCGCCAGGCCGGCGCGCGGCAGCACTTGGTCCTGGTAGAGCCAGCAGGACCGGCCGTCGATGTAGCACAGGCTGTAAGATTTAACCTGGGGTTGGGTTAGGGTGGAAAGGAGTTAGATTCGAAACAGAGGTCTCTTCACAGCGGGAGCTATGTGTGAAATAAGTTTCATGTTTGTTCCTTCCGTGCTCTTGCAAAAGGTTGACACTCGTTGACACTCAAGTATTTGTCACTTGACCTAAAACCAAATTTAAGGAATCCAGAAATGAAACTAGTGTACCAAGTAGCTTTACTAAGCTGTCGACAGAGAAAGACAATAAAATCCCATATCGGAGGGTTTTTGTGGAAGTGCTGCTTCATCGACCCGCTAAAGCCTAGACACTTTTTAGAAAAAATGACAAAGTTACTTTAAATCTGACGGGGGAGGCGGAGTATCTCAGATTATAAAGATAAGGCTGGATTCACAGAGTCTTTGCTTTTTGAAACAATCTGTTTTCTGATTATCATATTGCAGCTCATTTAGAAAAACTTAGAATAAACAAGAGCAAAAAGAAAATTAAAATCACCCTGAACCTCACTGTCTAGTCATATACATAAATGAAAGAGTAGTTATTTCTTTGGGGTTTTTCTACATATATATTTATTTTTAGGCAAAATTAAAGTTTTCAATTCTACCTGTTGACCCAAATAAATGACTGAGGCAAAAATCTCAATCAATGAAGGTTTATTAAGCCGCGATTTTGAGGGTGCCCCACGAACTGCAGACAAGCTGTGGTGGTTTTTCCAAAGCGGCGGTTGGAACCTTCAGCGTTTTAAGGGCAAGAGACAGAAGGGAAATGTGGGCGGGGCGCTGAGGGGTAACGGTTACATTCTTGTGAGGCCAAGAAATGTATATTTTACATGAAATGAGGGAGCGAAGGAAGCATCAGTCATGGAGCTGCCCCTGGGCGGGTGGAAGAATGATTCCGTGCTGTCTCCCGTGCGGTTACCTGTCAGGCAAACTTGTAATTCCTATTAGTGTGGAATCCAGCAGGCTTTAGCTTTAGGTGCTACACGTAGGGACAGTTTGCATGTCCTTGCTCGTGGGATGTTAGCAAGAAATTCCCCTGACGACTGATCTGTGGGGCCTGTTCTCCAGGGGTGCCCGAGGCCTTTACCTTCTCTCTTGCATAAGGAGTTGAGGAGGTGGCCCTGAGACTTTGACTTCCTTTGCACGTGTCTTTTAATTTGACATCGAAGACACGATGTCAATGGCTGCACGGTATTCCATATCGACAGCGCTTTGACTGTACTCCCACCCGATCGTTTATTTCCTACTATTCATCTTTCTTAAAAAGGCTACATCTTGTCTTTAAATCTTGTGCCACATCTCTGATTGTTTTATAACGGATTCCTCAAGATGCAATAAAAGCCTTTTTAGGGCTCTGATACCGCCAAATTTACCCTTAGATACGCCGTGTCAATTTACATTCCCACCAGCAATGATAAAAAGAATATTTATCTTGCCTGTCATTAGGATATGAAGGCTCTGTCGACCATAAAGGATTTTTATCATTCAACAAAGAGGTAGGAAGTGCTCCTGCAGGGCCTGAGAACTCAGCCCGGGATAAGACAGATCATGGGGGCAACAGACCAGTAGGGGGGCAGAAGAAAATATTACAAATGGTGATAAGGATCTGGAAAGACGTGATGAAACTTATGTGGCCGGTTATAGGATGGGGGTGGTGAGCCTGTTTCAATAGTGTGGTCAGCAGAGTCCTGTCTGAGGAGGTGAATGAGGACCAGAGACAGTTCCAGGCAGAGGCAACAGCGTGGCCCGGAGGCAACAGATGGCAAGCGGGGAGCTGGAGTGGGGCAAGAAGGCAGTGACCTGATCCGGTTGAGAAGATTGCTTTGGCTTCTGCGGAGGGGATGGCAGGCTGGGCGGTTCACTGGCCAGGACAGCTGTGACAGGCTAGGCTGGTGTGCCTGAGCGAGACCAGCGTGTGGCCGTGTGTGTGTGTGTGTGTGTGTGTGTGTGCATGTCTGTGTGTGTACATGTGTGTACCTTCAACTGGATAACAGATTTCGATGGAGGAGTTGTGTAAGGAAGGTCCCCTGCAGGTGACTGCACACATGCATGTTCAACTCCATCCCCAGCCACCCTTACTGACCACATCACCATCGGGATGGGGAAAGAGGTGTCACCTCCCAGGAGCCTATCAAGCTAGAACACGATGCATGTGTCAGGGAACAGGTGCCGCACCGGTCAAGGGTCTGGAAAGTTGCTTCTGATTGCACAAAGATGGGAAGGTCTCCACTTCGGTTCATTCTGCCATTGTCATTCCACCAGTGGTATCTAATGTCTCTTGAAAGGACAGTGACAATAGCTGGTACGTCCTAAACACATGTGAGGTTCTGGGCCCTGTGGCAACCCCCTAACAGTGTGATCTCGCTAACGCTAGAACTGCCCCCTCAGCAGTGGCGTCAGCCTTGCTTTACGTAGGAAGCCAAGTCCTGGAGGCCAAGTGACCTCCCAAGCACGGTCGTCTCTCCCGCCACTGAGAGGCCAGGCTTGAGAATCCGTGAAGCAGGGAGACTTCGCCCTTCCCTGGAAAGAGGCGCCCGCAGGGAGCCTTCCCCTTCAGGTTACAGACAGCGAGAGCCCAAAGCATTTCTTATCTGCTCATATGCAGATGATCCTGTCCTGGGGGTGCACCGGGACGATCTTCCCTCCCTGGAAAAGCCAGTTTTGCTGCCTTTGCACAGCCACCCAACATTCCTTGACTCCAGACAAACAAGCGCTCCTTGGAACCAGCTGTAACAACTGCCCAGTTGCCTCCTTTCAATAATGAGCTTTAAAAATCTTTCACACCTGTTCACTCTTCTGTGTGCATGAGGCGATTATCCTTTCACTGTGGACAGAGGAAGAAAACCAGAATTCGCTCCCTGCTCTGGGACACTCAGCCCCGCTCTGGCTCTGGTCGCTCTGGCCCCAGCCCCTGACCGCCCCCGGGCGGGTCTTCTGCCTGCACTTTGGCCTCTGGGTGCTGTTTCCTCCACCTCAGACCAGTTCTCTCAGCAAGCTCCCGCCTCCATCCCCATTCCTGCTTCTCAGCCCTCCCCTCTGACATACCAGACCCAGCTCAGGGCATTTTATCTTCTTGGTCCAGAGGCTCTAAGATAAACTGGAAATTTAGGGTAAAAGCCTGATTAATTTTAAAGGGATAGAAGCTCCCCTCAACAGAGTTGCTGTGCAGGTAAATCGAGATACAGTGGAGTACAGCATTTTAGTGCTGGAGTTTACTTCTGGGGATTTTTTTTAATGTATTATATTTACAAAATGGGATTTCTTCCCCCTGCTTTCTT